TTGTGATCCCGTTGCCGGTCACGAAAAAAGACAAAAAGGGAAAAAAAAAAAAAGAGTTGGAACCAGCCCAAATGTCCATCATCAGATGAGTGGATACGGAAAATGTCGTATATCTACACAATGGAATACTACTCAGCTATAAAAAAGAATGAAATACTGCCATTTGCGGCGACATGGATGGACTTAGAATTATATTAAGTGAAACAAGTCAGGCACAGAAAGAGAAATATCACATGTTCTCACTTATTCGTGGGAGCTAAAAATAAATTAATAAATACACAAAAAAAAACCTGGGTGGGGGGAGAGACACAACAATTACAATTCCTTGAAATTGATACGACAAGCAAACACAAAGGACATTGTTGGGAGGGAGGAGAGAGGGAGGTTTCGGTAATTGGCCACAATAATCAACCACATTGTATATTGACAAAAGAAAATAAAATTAAAAATAAATAAATTTTAAAAAAAGAAATGCAAGCTAAGGGTGTTAAGTGTCACGGTGTATCTATTTAGGTATGTGGATAAAGTCAACAGGGTAGAATGTTAATTCTTTCAACTTTTCTGTGTATTTGAAAATTTTTATGATAAGACGTTGGGACCTCCCCTTCCCCAATCTGGAGATTTCTGGCTTCTCTTGAAAAATAGAAAGGTCAGAAACTCCCCATTAGTTGGACCTAAGTAAAGGTTGCCTCTTTTACACAGGGCATGCATTCTGCAGTTTGTCATCTGCTCCATCAGTGCAGCTTCACTTGATGATGTATCTGCCTGACCCCTATAAGCATGTGTTTGCATGTCTTGCTGTAGTGCATAGCCCATTTGTGGATGAGATTCAAAGAAGGTAGCCAACTTTCCCAAGGTTGTACACCAAGTAAATGGAAGATGAACTAGGACTCAGTCTTTTTTTTTTTTTAAAGATGCCCGATAAGGGGATCTTAACCCTTGACTTGGTGTTATCAGCACCACACTCTCCCAAGTGAGCCACGGGCCGGCCCTAGGACTCAGTCTTAAGTCTCTAACTTCAGGTTCACTGCTATTTCCATGACAGCTCATTTTCTGTAGTAGGGACACACTGGCAGCTACGTATATTCTCAGAGTGTGTTCTCCAGCAGTTTTTGCACTGCTTATCACAGCAAGGCATGTCTAATTTTTCTTCTTGCACTCAATAGTAATTTATCCCATATCTAAAAGTGAGGAAGGGAGGGTGAGTAGAAAGAGGGAAGAAGAGGGAAGTAGATCATAACCATGATGAGGACAAACACTTTTTAAATGTCTGTTAATAAAGATGTGAGTTTTGACTGCTCTGTAGTAAATTTCCAGAGCTTGGAAGTGTGTAAACATT